AGGGGGAGCGCGATGCGGGGGCGCGCGGTGCCGGGGGTGGGGGGAGGGGGGACGCCAGGCGGGGGGCGCGCGGGCGGGCGTCGGCTCGCGGGCGCTTCCCCTCCCCCGCCCCTCCACCTTTCCCTTCCCCCACCTCCGCCGCCACCGCCTCCTCCCAGCCTCCCTCCCTTCCTCCCTCCTCACCGCCCCCGGGCGGGCGGGCGGCCAGGCTGGCCTAGGCCAGAGCTCCTCACCTGGCGGTGGCGGTGTAACTCCCAGCTAGCTCGCCTCTTCAGGCGGCGGCGGAGGCGTCGAAAAAGGAAGAGGCGACGGCACAGTGGGTTCCGTACCCTGCTGACGGGACGAAGGACGGAGGTGGGAGAGGGGGGCGGGCCGGACCGGGGCGGGCGGGCGGAGCAGACACTGCGGTACAGACGGGGGCAGCGGCGGCGGCGGCGGCTGCACCGGCGGCGGCGGCACCACACAAACAAGGACGCTGATTGGGCAGCTGCCAAGCGCCTCGGCTCCGCCTTCCCCACACGCCACGACGCCCATTGGGCAACCTAAGCCGGCCTCCCCGCCCTCTTCTTCTAGGCCATACCAATAAGAGAAGGGATGCCGGGACTACACCCCACCCTTGAAGAGTGAGTGGCTGGCGAAGTGATGATTGGCGTACCTGAAACCCAATCCTAAACGGAGGAGGGGGATGGTCTAGCGGGGGCGCGTTAATGGGTACCTCGACCAGTCCCAGACACATCCGGGTCTTCAGCAGTCCATTAAGTGTCGGGGGTCAAAAAATCGCTTCAGGCTGCAACTTTACCTTGGAGACGTTTTGGTCCCCAGGCAGCCGCCGTACCCCAGTCTCCCAAAACCGGGATTCCCCTTTGGCTAGTTCTCATTCTTCCAATTCTAAAGATGGAAACTGGCGAACGGCGCTGGGCTCTGCGTTAGGTGGTGTTTCATGCCGAGAAAACCCATGAATTTCACGATAGAAGTAGCTTTAGGCGCTTGGGCCTTGCTGTCTATTTGGGGCGTGGCCTGTCTCCGTCTGCCAAAGGCCTTGAGCTTCCTAGTCTTCATCGTACCCCAGCATGGCCCTGTCGTGACCAAACCACGACAGCAGAAATAAAAGGCAGCCAGCCAAATTGCTGAGAAATTACGGTGTGCAAAGCCCTCCTAGCTCCTTCTCTCGGGATCTTGTCTGGTTAGGTTCACAGTGAAGGGAACGGCCTCCTTACCCCTAATCAACTCAAGGCCCAGCTCCTCTTGCTGTTCCCGGAAGCTGTTAGACCCACCTGAACTTTCTTAGCATTTCTCCAGCACCTCGGTGAGAAGCAACAAGTATCAGAATGTGCTGAGGGAATTATAATAGCTAACTTTTTGGGAAAGAGACTGAGCTGTACATGCGTTATTTATTCTTTTAAGAGCTTTACATGGGTTACCTCCTCGTAACTGTGGAGTAATTATTATCCTCATTTTACAGACGAGGAGAAAGGAGGTACAAAGTTAAAAATGCTAAGTGGCAGAGCTGAAATTTGAATACAGATAGATCAAAAAACAGGCCCAGAAAGGTTAGCTTGCAAAGGCCAGACAGCTAATTAGTGACTATGCAGTGCTTTGAGCCCAGAAACAACTGATTCCAGAAGCACTAGAACATGTTCTTCAAATTATTTAAAAGTCATGCTCTGCACTGGAAATTAAACTAATGAAGGACATGGCCACACACGAATGAAGAACCCTGAACACACACACACGCACATGCAGAGGCATGCCCCAATTCCTATTTTAAGTGGGTAAGAAACCTTGTTTCATCCTAGTATAGTGTCCAGGTAAAGAACATGGTCTCTGGAGTCAGACTACTTGGGTTTGGATCTTTGCTGTACCTCTTACCAGTTGTGTGATTTGGGAGCAAGTTAATTTATATTCTCTATTAGTGGCCCGGTGCATGAAATTCGTGCACATTAAAAGGGAATTAATAAGAAGAAATATTTTAATATTGCTATTTGCCCTTTCTCTATAATAGAAGTGTCAGAGATGAAAGAAAATTAGTAAAATGTATATGAAAATCTCCCGCCTTTCAGAGTCTGGGGTGCACTGCGGAACCCAGAGTCAAGTCCCCGCCCACCCGCACGCGCCTCGAAATCGCGCGAGACCCAGACCCAGCTGGCCCCACCCCCGTCAAGCCCTGCAGGGCAGGGGGGTGCGCAGCCTCAGGTCCCCCAGCTCCAGCGTGAGAGCATGACAACCATTTGCATATTAGCTCTTTATTATATAGGATGCTTTAGTTTCCCTGTCTGTAAAAATGGGAATGACTGATAAGAGTACCGAGCTCATAGGGTAATTGTGAGGATTATAAAATAGTCCATTTAAAATGCTCAGGACAGCCTGACCAGTGTAGCTCTGTAGTTGAGTATTGACCTATGAACCAGGAGGTCAGGGTTCAATTCCCAGTATGGGGTGTGTAGGAGGCAGCCGATCAATGATTCTCATCACTGATGTTTCTGTCTCTCCTTCTCTCTCTGAAATCAAAAATATATTATAAAATGCTCAGGACAGTGCTAAGGATACAGTAAGTACTCGATAAACATAAATAGTAACTTATGGGTTTCCTCACTTTTCCAAGAATTTCACCCTCTTAGTTCAAAATTCAGCTTCTGTTGGTATTCTATTGGTAGTAGTCTTGTACTGAACTGAAAATTATTTCTCTACTGACCCCCTAATTTTAATGCTTTCACTGTTATTAGTACACCTGATAGAGGACCTATTATGTCATCAGGCACTCTTTTATGTGCTGGGCTATAACAGTAAATGAGATAGTCACTGCCCTCATGGAAGGTATAGTCAGTCTTCTTCCCTAACCTGCTTAAACCATGATCAGTCCAATGCATGCTCTGTATCTGAAGGGCCGTTCTTCAAGGGCTGTGAGGAGACAAAAGAAATATGTTGGTGGATACCAGCCCAAAGAAGATACTAGTGAGTCCTGAGAAAATGCCTTTTAACAAAATTAAAAATCAGGCCATGGAGGGGGACTTTCAATCTGGAATAATCAAGTTCCAAGGAAGACAAGTAAGTGAGGCCACTGTTGTAATGGACATGACCTTTGCCCCATGCAGTCTCTGTTCATTTTCTTTTTGAAGCTAACATTTACTAATTTCATATGGATTTACATAATTAATCTTTAAACAACCTCCCCAATTTGCAGATGAGGAAATACTGAGGCATGGCAGTTAAGTAACTTGTCAGATGTAATAAAATTAGTAAGTGGCAGAGACAAGATTTAACTACAGTTTTTCATACTCGGGCCTATAAACTTCAAAGTCTGGGAAGATAACCCTAGCCGGTTTTGTTTGGCTGTGGATAGATAGAACGTGGCCTGCAGACCAAAGGGTCTGGGGTTCAATTCTGGTCAAGGGCATGTACCTTGGTAGCAGGCTTCTCCCTGGCCTGGGGCCCCGGTTGGGGCTCATGCAGAAGGCAACCAATGGATGTGTTTCTCTCACATCGATGTTTCTATCTTTCCCTCTGTCTCCTACTTTCCCTAAAAGTCAATGGGAAAATTATCCTCAGGTGAGGATTAACAACCACCACAAAAATAGTCTGGGAAGAGAAATTGGGCCAGGTTATATGTGCATATCCTTTCCCTCATACAGTTCCCTAACCCACAGGACAGAGAAGATATCAGATGCCATGATGATTACTTGATTACTGGAATTCTCAGATATTCTTGTGGTTGAAGAATTCTATGGTTCTGAACATCTGACTCTAGACCTCTAAAAGGAAGCCCCAAAATGAGAAACAGAAGCTGGAGGCAGGGTTGATTAGCATTATTGTTTGTGAACCAAGAGGCCCTCTAGACCAGTAAGATTATACGGTCTATTAAAGTAGGGACTGAGCCCTAAAAATCTCTCCAATGTCCGTTGGTTTAGCATATTACTAGGCACATTACACTCAACAGAAACTTATGGTTTCAGGAAGGCAGTGGCTCCATTGCAGAGGGTCCCTGAGAATGATACAGGGAGAGGTTGATTTTGGAGAATGAGGTCTGATCGGAACCTGGGATGACATGAGGGTTCCCTCTGAAGAAGGCATCGCCTAGTCCCTGGCAAAACAGATGGCATGCCCTAAGCCCCTGCTTTCCTCCTGTGCAGTTTCCTTGCCAAGCTCAAGACAGGGTGGTGAAGGGTCCTCTGGCTTGAAGGTCCCAGAATTCAGAAATAGTACTTTTCATCCACTGATCTCACCCCACGGAATGTGCACGAAAAGCTCATGTAAGTTATTTCCTCCACTGACACTCGCACCCGCCTTCCCTAAGGCATTTCTGTTTTGTTGGCTAATTCCCTTTGGTAATTTGTTTTGCATCTCTGTTTGGAGTTGCTTCTGTATCTATTTCATTACACAGGAAAGAAAGGGAGAACTCCAAGTAGGCCAGAGGGATTAGAAAAACGAAGCCTGTCTCTCTGATGCCCACATGCAGTGAGCCCCTTAATCCTGGTCCCCATCTTCCTGGCACTGTCCCCAGACCGAGACCCTGGTTGGAAAAGCACTTCCTCCAGCTGGAGCAACCAAGGAGGCCTAGGATAACCGCCAGGGCTCCCAAGATGCACAAGGGCCACCAACACCAGCTATTGGGGAGAGCGCTGTCATCCCCGTGGAGGTGCTGGAGAAGTTGGAAGGGGATAAGCTGGGGGCGAAGAAAGAAGGCAGAGATGAGCTCAGGGCCCCCAGAGAATGGAGTCTTTGTGTGGGCAGACAGATGAGGGACAAGGGGGTGATTGTGCGTGAGGGCCGGAAGTGCCGCACAAACTGGCATCACCACAGCCAGCACCGGATTCACCCCTCTCCTGCTCTGAGAACTCCCTATGCCTCAAGGGACCGGTAGCGACCTGGTCGGGGAAAGCCATGTGTACCTGAAGGCCGCAAGAGATGGAAAGGCGGAAGGGAGCATGTACAGCCAGGGGAAAAGGAGCGGTATCCCCCACCATTATCCCAGACCCAGAAAACAGGAGGCAGAAGGAAAAAGGAAAAAAAAAAAACAGAAGCAGCTTTTACTATATTTACATCCAACAAAACTTCGCAAGGAACAATCCTTATTGCACAGTCAGGGCCCTGGGTGGGTGATGCATTCCCCGGGTGGAGAGATCAAGAAGGATTAGGACTTAGAGGGGGCATCAGTACTTCCTAAGGAGACCTTGGGACTCCTCCAGTTCCCACCTCTTGAAATTTAAGGTGCTACAAAGCACTGTACCGTGGGACCCCATTCCCATAGGACTTCTCTTTTTCACCATCCATAATAACTTCATACGCAAGGGGGCTGTGGCTCCAGAATAAATAACTTAAAATAAAATACAAATTCTAATGTAGAAAGGCATGGAGAGCCTTGGACTCCTTCAGCAATTCTAGCGAAGAGGGGCCATCCTTGATGGGGAATGATGGTCCTCCCTCCCATTCAAGGCAAAGGCTCGGTGGCTCTGTATCTTTCCAGTTGTTTTTTAAAACAAAAACTTATAAAATGACCGGGGTGCAGACCCGTGGGTAACCGGAGGGGACTTCCTAGTTTAGGATGGGGAGAAACAGAGCCGTGCCAAATGTCCCCGGGCCTCCTCCAATGTCAGCATGAGCACGTTGGGCAGGTTGGAGACAGCGAACTGTGACTTTTGGTAATACCGGGTCCCCCTTCCCGCTGTCCCCACTTGGAGCCTATGGCTGGGGCATGTCTCCTGGCCCGTTTCCCAACTCCTCTATGAAAGGAACAGGGAAGCAGATTATCGCTAGGATCCTTTCTCCTCCACCTCCCCACTCCAGGCTGGAGGGGGAAGCTTCAGGGTCCCTAGCATTCCAGAAATGCTCCAAAACATTTTCGGCAATCAATGGCCTTCGGGGTGGGCATCTGTGCCCGCCGCTGCCTCAGCTCTTCCTTGCCCATGCTGCTGGCCAGCTTGTTAAAGGCAGACTTGTACCTCTTGTCGAAGTGCACTAGGGAAGAGGTGGAAGGCAGGTCAATACATAAGGATTCCAACCTCCCACACCGGGCCCCAGATCCCTAAACTCTTCAGCCCCCTGCCTGCACCCTCACCTGTTTTCATGTGGTCCTTGCCCAGAGCAGCTATCGTCAGGAAATAGATCTCACGGTAGATGCCCCTGAAGTGGAGGCAGAAGGGCATGAGTGAGAGAAAGGGGATACAGAGTCTGGTACAGGCCAGCAAACTTCCAGATGGGAGCCCCCATACCTCTGTAGGTGCAGGCCTGTGGGAGGGGGCCCTAAAATTTCTAGCAGGAGCCCTATAGCCTTGTGCACCTCGTCGAGACCAACATAACGCAGCACCGACTCCAGCAAATGCAGGCTCAGGGATGCAGGTACGGGGCCTGGCCATGCCACCCGCTGGGGGATCTGGCCTGGGTGAAAGAAAGGAAGGTAAGCAGGATCATTGAGTCCTCTGGGTGTGGGACCCACCCCTTCCCACCCTAGGCCAAATACCAGACTCACTGTGGACCCTCCAGAGCACATAGAGAGGGGGGCAGCTATTGGGGTCAGGGGTCAGAACATCCCACAGCAGCCGCACCTGCACAGAGGCTGGGTCAGGCACTAGACAAGGAGATGGGGCCTGCAGGAGGCCAAGAAAAAGGAGACAGTGAGGCTCCTGGGGGATAGGACATGGGCATACAATGTTCCAAGACACACAGGGACATCACAGGACATAGCCAAAGGGAAGAGGGAAAGGCACTCTCACCCCCAGGAGAACACAGGCTCTCTGAGAGCAAGGACTGTGTTCTGTAATCTGCTGTATCCCTGTGCCTAAACACTGTGCCTGCGCTCAATAACTATTGGTAAAAGGAGGAGACAAACATGAATGAATCAGCCTGGGCATTACACAAAGTGTCTAACAACAGCCCTGTCGGGGGAACACTCATGCCATTTTATACATGAGAAAACCCAGGCTCAGTAGTGAAGTGAAAGGGTGAGAAGGAATACCAAGTACGCCCAACTCCAAAGCATGTGCTCTTTCTACAGTACCAAGGACACCGAGGACTGAAACAGAGCCGAGAGCTGAGGCAGACACTCGGGAACAGGGAACCACCGGAGGGCACTGACCTGGGGGGCCGGGGGACCATTGCAGGAGGCGAGCACCAGGCATGGCAAAATACTGGGCAGGCGCAGCCTCTGGAAATACCACAGGAGGTTCCAGAAGATGATGGGGTGGGCAGCAGGCAGCTCAGGCAACGCCAGCACTTCACTGCCCTCGTTCTCTACCAGCGACTCCAGCTCCTTACGCAGCACCAGGGGGCTCAGGTATGCCCATGCCCCACCCTCGACTCGCTGGGAGGCACCCTGTTGGGCACAAATGGGGAGGGCAGGGGAGGGCATGTGCCATGCCCCATCCTCAGAGCCATGCTTCCACGTGTCCAACAGCTTCTGGGATGCCCCTTGGCCTCAATGCCCATCTCTGGACAGGATCACCGGGGGCCCCCCCACAGGGCAACATGCACCCATTCCTCAAGCCCCTTTGGCCCAGCCCTTACCCCCATGTGCCCGTTGCAGAGCTGGGGCTCATCCAGGGCAAGGCAGAGTCTGCGGTCACTGAGCACAGGGCCTGGGCCCCCTGGGACAGGAGCATCTTTGCTGCCGCTGGCACCAGCAGGGGGCAGGCTTGGGGGCTGGGGGGCACTGCAGGGGGCATAGCAGAAGGGGTTCAGCACCTGGGCCTCCACCTCCTCCCCTCTCCCACCCCAAGCATCCGCCCTGCTTTGGGCACCTGGGTCGGGAATCAACAGTCTGGACACTGAGCAGGGGCACGAAGGGGCAAGCGCAGAAGGGGCAGGTGGTGTTGAGGTTGGAGTCATCAGGTGCCCAGCCAGCCATAATCTCCTCATCGTATACCAGCGAGTCACAGGCACGGCACAGGGAGCAGCTGGACAGCAGAATCTGCAGGCAAGAAGACCCCAGGAAGCAAGCCCTGCTTGGCCTCGGGCTCCTTCCCCAGCCCCTCCCACCTCCGCATCCCAGCCCAGCCTCCTGCCTCCTCCGCCCAGCCCCTGCCTTGACAGAGGGTGTGGGTGTGTGTGTGTGTGTGTGTGTGTGTCTGTGTCTGTGTCTGTGTGTGTGTGTGTGTGTGTGTGTCCAGCACACCCGTGTGGGAGGTTATCCTCACTTCCAGGGAAGGTGGCTGGGAGGTCCCGGGGGTTTCGGTGAGGCGCTCTGAGGAACGGCGAAGGCTCAGGCTGCTGACAGAAGATTCTGAGAGGTCCCACTCACTGCCCAGAGAGGCTGAGCTCTACCACACGAGAAAGCATGGTCAGCCAGCCGTGCCCCTCTTCGCCCGGGACGCTGACTTCCACCCCACCTCAGGGCCCTCTCGGGCTCTGTCCCGTTAGCAGCCCCTCCCCAGCAGCCTCTGGGTGCTTAAGTGTCTAGACCTTCCCCTTGCTGGCTACCTCGGAGGCAGTGGATCCAGGGCGCTCCCGGGGGTGCAGAAGGCCATCCATGGGGCTGCGGTGGGCTGGGGGAGGCAGGTCGGGGGGCAGCTCAGGTGGGGGAATGCGTGAGACAGAGGAGCGGCGGCGGGAAGGAGTGAGCAGCTGCTGGAGGCGGGCACCCAGCCCTCGCCGGGGGGTGCTGCTCTCATCCTGATGCCCACTAGCCTTGGGCACACGCTCACTTAGCCCTTCCACGACTTCAGTGGACTGGGTACTCCGGGCGGAGCCCGAGTCCCCTGGGCTGCCTCCAGCTGCCAGCTCCTCCCCAGGCAGGCTCAGGTCTGAGAGGCTTCCATCGTGCCAGGGCACAGGTGATGCCCGGGACTCCAGTACCCCCAAGGCCTCCATCACTGCAGGGCAGAGAAGAGTCAGGGAAGACGCAGCCCGGCCCCGCCTCCAGAGACTGAGTAAACACAGTTTCTGGCTGCACAAACTCTGGCACCACCACCCCTATCGTGACGGCATTCTGGGCAGGGTTCCCTGAGTTTGCAGTCCCCACCACGGAGGGCCACCCCTCCATCCTGGCCCTCGTCTTCCTCTCTCACTGGCAAGTGGTTAGCAAAGCTGACTGGGCACTCACTGTGGGCCACGCCAGCCTCCACCGTGGGTTGTGCCTCTCGGGCACTGCCCAGGCTGCCACTCTTCAGCAGGCGCCCCTTGGGTGAGGCCGGGTCCCGCAGGCTGCGCCCAGCCCAAGTAGTCTGGCGCTGAAGGGGGCGGGTAGGGGAGGGGCGCTCCAGGCAGGGCTCTGTAAGACACAGGGAGGGCTGAAAGGCAGCCAGGCCAACACCCAGCCCTCTATTCCAAAACAGAACTCCTTGCATGGACCTGGGTTCGTAAGGTTCTTTGTAGAACTTCATCTCTTTTGTTACCAGCCAAGTGTCGTTTATCCATCCCCAGAACACCCAGTGCCAAACAAGGGGCCAGTCCCAGCTCTCCCTGCCTGAGCCCCAAGCCCGTGTCTCCAACCCCTGCCTACCTGTCTGGGAGCTGCCTGCCTCTTGTGCTGCCGCCTTCTGCTGTTGCTGCTGCTGCTGCTGCTGCTGCTGCTGCTGCTGCTGCTGTTGCTGCTGCTGCTGCCACCGTTCCTTCAAGGGCTGGCGGAACTGAGCAGCCCCCAGGACAATGTTCCGAAGCTTGGCCCAGCGCAGGCGCCCACCAGGTGTACCAGATGGCCACTTACTCTCCAGCACAGCCTGCCAAGCACCGTGCCCATCAAGATGGCCTACTTTCACACTGATCCCAGCCTGACACCTACTGCCTGTCCTGGAGCCCAGGGACCGCCTTCCCCTCCAGGCGTGCCGCCCGGGACTGTTCTGCCAATGGCTCAGCCAGGAGAGGCAGTTGGCAACGGCCACTACTGACAGGGGGGTCGTAAAGGAAGCATATAGCAGGGAGACAGTTTATTTCCAGACTCTGTTACTTCTCAACTATATGGCTTTGAAGAAATCATTTCTCTCTTTGGTCATTAGTTTTCTCATCTAAAAAACAGGAGGCAGTTTAGTGTCATGGTCAAGGGCCTGAATTCAGGAGACATCAATATGCTTGTGTTCATATCCCACTTCCCTAACTTACTCACTGTGGGACCCTGGACAAGTTACTAACTCGGCAACCTCATTGCCTCGCCTGTAAAATGGCGATAATAATCCTTCCACCTCTTGGGACGATGGTGGAGATAAAATTATGTAAATCAGCGGTTCTCAACCTGTGGGTCTCGACCCCTTTGGCGGTCGAACAACCCTTGCACAGGGTTCGCCTAAGACCATCCTGCATATCAGATATTTACATGATGATTCATAACAGTAGCAACATTACAGTTATGAAGTAGCAACGAAAATAATTTTATGGTTGGGTCACATGAGGAACTGTATTTAAAGGGCCAGAAGGTTGAGAACCACTGATGTAAATGTATCCCAGCACACCGGCTAACACTCAGCTTTTATTGGGTGGTAGCAGTACCTGCCTACCCTTGTCAGGGCTGTTGTGAATATCAAACAGCCAAGCATGCGAAAACCCAACGTAGGTGCTAAGACCCTACAGGAGCACATGGACAGCAAAGCTGTAGGACCTAGCTGGACTGTATGGGCCCAATCTCCAAGGAGAGGGGAGGGTAGCAGGTGCCAGGGAGCAGCCTCCTCCCCATGCACACACTTGGCACGTGCCACTGTCCCACCGTAGCCCCAAACTTGGTACCTTGTTGTAGTAGCCATACGTGATCGTGTGGGCACAATGCCTGCCTGCGCATCTCAGCATGACCCGCACAGACAGCACAGGCTGCCCATAGTGTGAGCACAGCTCATCAGCACCCGGTAACACA